TGTTAGGGATGTTTCACCGAAAAATGGCCAAGAAGTATTTTTCTCCCATGAACTTTATGAAAAATATTCCTTGTCTCCGAGCCTCTCCGAACTCTGGCATTTATCAAACAGGTATATTATGTAATGTTATCATTTTGTGGTTTTGTTACCATCCTATGGATTGCGTATCCATACTCTTCTGGGGAAAGTTGTATGTTGTCTGGCACAAGAGCTTGTTACAGATTTCTTGGTTCAGCTGTTGGCCTGTGCTTTATCAATTGTGAAACCTCAGAAAGCTGGAGTCCTTTGGACTTTTGTGTCTTAAGAGGGGTGTTTAGGAGTTTGGGAATAGAGGTTGGGTTAATGGCTTTTTGGGGGTGGTACTTGTTTTTTGCTTTCTCTTATGTATCAAAGAGGGATAAGTTTGACCCACCTTCTTAACYGTTCAGGGTAAGGGTCCGGGAACCCATGAACCAGCCCTAATTCTGCTTAGAAATTCATAGCTGTCCCATTTCTTCTCACTTTATATGAGGGTAACAGTACTGTGTTTTTAAATCCTTTTTGCTTGTACCTTTTGGAAGCAGCCAACATTTTACATGAACCTCCAGTCTCTTAGGTGCAGTGGAAATGTAATTAATTCTTTGGGTAATGAATAGAAACTTTAGAGTGCCAGGAGGACTGGGATATGAAACTGGTGGTACAGGTGGTGTTGGTGTCCTTTTTATCTTTTTTGTAGTTGAGGAAGTAGAATAACATTTRTTTCCCATAGTGAAACGTGTGGCYCATGTGGCTTCATTTCAGCATTTGRAGGACTGTATTTAAACTCTTGGTTTTTAAGAAGTTATTTAGCTGATAGGGAGCTGAATGTGACTGCTGATGAATGAACCTTCACACTGTGAGGAGTGTGGGTGGGAAACCATGTAAGTGGAAATTCAGCAAGTGGGGAAATAGTTTGTTCAAAAGGGGAATTACTCTGTTTTTATGAACTGACAATGAGAATGTGCATTTGAGGGGAATACCTGTTACATCACATGACTTTATCCCTCATCTTTAGCTAGAGAAGGCTGTCCTTGTTCATCTCTATTGGAGCAACTTTCCTTGAATTGGCAATATATGAGCACAGCCTCACAGCTTTTTACTGGTACATCTGATACTGCTGCAGGATAAGAGTTTCTGGAGCAGACACTGAGGAGTGGGATTGTATTCAGCTTTGTTTGGCTCAAATGGTTTGCAGCCASAAGAAGCCAGAGAGGTTGCAGCTGGAAAAAATCAGAAATTGATGGAACTGGGTTGTGTGRCTATAGTCAGGAGGAAGAGAAATTAAACCTGTTGAAGCAAGTGTGAAAGTAAAAGCTGGAGGAAATTTGCCAGTTTTGGGGGGTTTCTCATAGGTATTTACTAAAGTGTGTATTCTCTTGGTRTAGAAGCTGTGAAGGCGTGTTGCTGATAAAATGAAGGGGAAAAATTTAAGCCGTCAGCTCAAATAGAGTATAATGCTGTAAATATGGACAGAAAAGCTCTGTCAGATTATTTTGGTTTGCACCCCGATGAAGACTGTGACAGCACTGCATACTGAAATGATCTTGATGTGCTGCCATTTCATTCAGTGCTGAATATAGCCAATTTAAGCTGCTAGAATTTCTTGATGTTCCTACATTGGCATATCTGAGTCAGCATCTTGTTGCTGCTACAGCTTAATTAAATTTGCCAGTTTGTGCCACAAGGATGGACACATTCTCATATTTATAGAGACAGCTGTGAAGTGTTATTAAGAGCTGTGGATGTGATACTGCTGGGTTTGAATGACACTTGAGATGTTTTCTACTGCTGAAATAGTATCTTAAAAATATGCTTTTTCCAAGATCAGCAGTTAATGTTCATTTTGTTAGCCTTAAATATTTTCTCTCTTAAGTACAATTATTTTAAATATACCAGGGTTGGCCTTTGTGTACTGGAGTTTTACGAACCAGCTTYATGCTACTCCTTTGTTGTTGTTAGAACAGCATACCCCTTGCCTTAGCCTAGTATTATTTTTGGTGACTGATTCCATCATTGTTTAGAGTAGAAAATTAAATGTTTGATTTGTGTACTTTGTAGGAATTTCTTCACTGAAATCTGCAGTTTTTATTGTTACAATGAAGTGGCTTTAATTTCCTTCTTCTGCAATGAAAGAAAGGCTTTTTCTGGTTAAGTCTTTCTCCTTGTCAGGAGTGACTTGCAAGTCTGACCTTTCTGAGTGCAGACAGTTTCAGAACAGTGGCCATCAGTGACTGATGAAATGTGGATCTATTTTTTCATTAATAATCTGTGTTTCCAGAACAAAAAATCTGTTTCATATTTAGTTTGTTAACATTGTTTTGTTTCTTTAAAAAGAGAAAACCCTCCCTTTTTTTGTTTGTTTTTTGAATCAGTTGCAGACCTGCTGTTGGTACTAAGGATTAGTCTGGTTGCACAGGTGAGGTTTCAGAATAAGAACAGTCCAGTGGCACAGATAGGAATTGGAATTGCATGGTCTCTCAGAGCAATTTAGGCTTGCACAGCTGCTGTTATTGTTTCTGACAAATATTAGTATTTATGTGAAAGCTGCAAATTCTTTTGTTTGTTACTTTTCTTTCAGAGAGGCAAAGAAAAATGTGGAGGCATTGGCAAACTCTTCAGAAAACAGACAGATCTGTAGCGTGCAAGCTGCAGATTCACTTGAGGTGGAGGCTAAAAGCCCAGCTGATGATCATCCTTTTCCAGAGCCCAGAGTCCCCTATCCATTCACCTCTTGTTTGTCTGAGAAGGAGCAGAAAACATACTTGTATCTGATGACTAAGTTCTCGAAAAAAATAAACCATTTCCAAGTTAGTGCAGCAAGTCAGAGGGAATTTTTCACTTATATGGTAAGATATGTATGTGTGTACATCACAAAGGGAGTAATACTATTTTTTTCTTACAAGAATAAAAGAAGGGGAAAATTGGTTTTCAATTCATCATAATTAATTTATCATAGAGTTCATGGTATTGTGAGTGGTAATAAATTTTGTAGGATGAGCTTTTTAATAGAAATTGAAAGTATATGTGGCTATTTCATTGAAMCTGGGGGTTTTGTGGCTTTTTTGGTTTGGGGTGGTTTGGTTTTTTTGTTGATCTAAACAACTGTGGGTAAATGTAGATATTTGACAGCTGATCAAACAGCGCCCCCTGCCCAAAAAAAACCCCTTATTTTCCAAAGAGGAAGTGAAAAGTTTTCCTTACTGTGATCTTAGCATTTTGTAGTGGCATGTGCCAGTCTTAGATGGTGTTAGGCCATGGATACGTTTTGCTGTGATCTTTACAGCTCCCTGCTGTGAGAGCTTTRTTCATTAGCATGGGCAGGCCCTCTGTGCTGCCCTGCTGGGCTCACACAAGGAACAAGGCTCAAGTTCACCCTTGCTGCTGAGTCTCAGCAATGTGTTTAAGTACTTAATAAATTAAGTATTTAATTTTTTTAACCTGTTTTAACCTGTTGGGTGAAAAATCGTTTGACTTCAGTCCTGTAAAATATAATTAATCAGCAAATTGTTTTGAGCCATTGCMTTTGGTTTCCCACAGTTCCTTATTAATGCTAATTTCTTTATTTTTGCTGTAACTTTGGAATATCTTTTCCAGGCAAGTCAGTAACTACCACGTTCTTTCATATGAAATCAGAATTCAGATATCTTTGTGGCTTTGTCATGTAAACTTCATCAACCATGTCTTGTAACTTTTTTATTTATAAATCACCATATCAAAATAAACTTGCTGTTTGTTAGGGATGGTGGTTTTTTTTGGTTTGGGATTTTTTTAAGGAAATGGGTCTTGCAAATTTTTTTTTACTTAAGGGAAACTGGACATTTGCCAAATTGAGCAGCAAGTTGAATCTGTTCATTCCCTCATATCATTACCTGTACTGTCTTTCTGGAAGTTGTGATTACAACTTAGTATGTGATTACATATCTAGCATAGAGGGTTTTGTTTTGTCTTAAAAATAGACTTTTCCTTCCCCCAGCAAATGAAAGAAGTAGTAAACAATGAAATTGCAGAATTTATGAAATTTGCTCAAAATGCTGCAAAAAGCTGCGCCCAAGATTATGACACCATCTCTGAAGATGCACTGCGTTATACTGAGGTAATTAMCATTGCCATGCTTAATTCCAACCCTTCTGAAAAAACATCTTGGAGTCATGATTAAGATACATAGAACTGYTCATGGGATGTGATGTTCCCTGACCTTCTGCTGATTTCATGTTGGGATGAGATGGGGAAGTGGCCWTTTTCCTTACACTGTGCAGCGTGGCTTGGCCTGCGGTTCCTTGGAGCCTAAAAGAYGGGATACTAGAGAAGTCGCTGTTTTCAATACTGTAAAAATATTTAGTCATCAAATAAATAAATTTCTTTTTTTATATTTGGGAAGGGAGAAGTTGCATTTTAGGTGTGTATTTCCATTAACAGATTGCTCCTGCATATAAAGGACTGGACAGAATGTTAAGCTTTCCTCCACAGTAGCATGTTATAAAGTCATTTTAATTAGAGGTTACTCAGGCTTTGATCATAACCCTCTGCAAGTTCATGCTGTGTTAAATATCCACTTGGATGATTCTAAGATCGAACATGAATGCAACTTATATATAATTCTTGGCTTTATAGCACATTTTGGAAAAAAATCCAGAATTTAGTGGGTTAACAGAGAGTTTGGGCACATATGAGGACAAAAATACTGCTTTATTTTTTGCTCTAAATATTTGGATTGGTTTTCAATTTTATATTTTGTCATCTGGTTACAAAATGTGTCTCCAGACTTCTAGTCCTGTTTATTGTTAATACCCCGACTTCAAAGTGAAATAGAGACACATACTTTGTTGCAWACAATACTTGCAAAAATAATTCATTCTAGTTACTAAATAAAAGCTAAGTATCCTAAATACCTAATTCAGGTATCATAAAAAGTTATGTAGAGTTGACATGATAGTGAGTTTCAACACAAATGGAATCATCCTATGCCTTTACCTTTGTGCCTTTTGCCTAGGTCTAACGTAAACTAGGTGGTAACACAAAAAAATACACTTCCTCTAAAAGCCAAGATAAATAAACTARAAAGAAAATAATTACCTGTTTAGCACAGTTCAGAGTGTACTGAACTGCATGTTTTTAAWGATTGGCCTGAGCTGTGTACATACATTGTTAATGTGGATATGAAGGGGTGAGGAGGGTCTACAATGTATTGCAGTTCTCATACCAGTGATTGTGAGAGTCTTAAAGCTCTGTACTGGTATCTGCAAGTTTTTAAATGTAACTTGCAATTGCAGAAAAAACTTTTCAAAATKAAATGCATAAATTACTTTTCTTTTTGTGTTAGGAGTTGCTACGTGCATGTATTGGGCATGTGCAGAAGTATCCAGMGTTTTACACCCTCCATGAGATCATGAGTATCATGGGAGGAAAGTTTCATACACAGCTGACCTTTAAGCTGGAAAAAAATCTTCTTGCAATGGTAATACTTTATGTACACATACTGGGTTTGTGGGTTTTTTTAAATAAGTAGAATTCCATCAGCATTGTATTGTGCAAGAATTAGGGATTTTTGCAACTATTACCCAGTTCTTGAGTTAGGGGTTATAATTTATAATTAAAATTATTAATTAAAACGTCAGTAAAATTATTTTAGTAGTGAGGCTGTTAACCCTTTTCACCAGATGTTTACCGTTAAAAGATTGCACTGATAGTATGTTTTCTCATATCATGTAACTTTATAATTCACCTGTGTAGATTCCTGTATTTTTCTTTCTAAGAAGTTCAGTGTTGGGTGAGCATGATTGCTGTGAAAGGTGTTTCCTGATCCTGCTTGATTTCCCCAAGGGTACAGCAAGACGGGGTAAAACAGATTTCCCTTCCATGCCTGTTCAACTGCCCACAGATTATAGCACTGTCACATCTGTTATAACACCAGAAAAAAAGGCTGATGTTATGCATAGTGTAAGTAACCTTTTTATTGTCATTTTTAAGGCATATTCTGTACAGAAGTCCAATTTGATTCTTTGTATGTGTTGAACAGTTTTTAGATTGCATTGCACCATTAGATAGCTCTYATTTCTGTTTGTGTTCTTCCATTACCAAAATCAGGGAGTTTTCATTCTGTTGAACTGAGTTTTTTGACTGTTWATTCCAGGTGATTTTTGATCAGGTAGTTCAAGGAATTTTTCCACATGTGCAAACCCAAACTTTCAACAGAAGCACTGTAATTTCAATGACTCTTGCTGAAGAAAGGAGCAGAGGTGATGCAGGAGAATGTTTATAACTAACATCTCTTGAGGCTTATACCAGAATACTTGTGATGGTGTCTTGGATGGCAGAAAAAAGAGCAGATGGATTTTTTATACTCGTCTCATGGTCCTGGCTCCTGGGCTCCCATTATCTTCTTAGTCCTTGATGCTATTCTTCAACCTCATGAGCATTCCCAGCCTCCTTCCTTCATGGAAATATGTACTCATAATGTTTAACAATTTTGTCATTTCAGTTCTGAGTTTGTATTGTTGATTTTGTATTYGTTTTAAGGTTCCTTATATATGACTGGTATTGAAACAACTATGCAGCATTAACCATATTTTGATGTCAGGTGTCTTTATTGTGCTGTGGCTTAACTCTTAAGAAGATCTGTAATRCATATTTGTGAGTTAATCTGGTTTGGGTTTGTATTTTTGCTTCAGTGCATTTCCATATCTCATGATGCTTTAAATTCCTATTCAACCTAGTAATTCAAAGTTATAGAGAAATTAACTGAAAATACAAGTTAAAAAGATACATTTTCTCAAGCTGCAATGTGAATGCTATAAGATTCAGCTGAAAACTTTCAGGGGAGTTTTTTGCTCTTTCATTTCATTTTGAAACCTGGCATTGTGGTCGTATTTGTACTTTTTTGGGGGATAGGGGTTGTCTATATCCATTTTTATTTGGGTTTGGATTTTTCTTGTAAATTCAGATTTGTGTGTATTTTTTAAAAAAAACGAACTTTGAAAGAAAACGTCTTTTTTTTTTCCTCTTTAGGATATTAGTTCAGATTCAAATGCAGAAAAACTTGCTTTGAAATACTATCCTCAAGTTGTTTTAAGTAATCAATCATTATTTACTTTACTGAATAATCATGGACTAAACTACAAGGAACAATGGGAAATTCCAGTTTGTGTTAAAATGATCACTGTTGCAGGTATGGGATGTTTTTGTTATAAAACTATGGGGGGGTGTTGTCCAGAAAAGCTGGAAAGCTGATCTGGAGTCACTTTATATCACTTGGCTTTCTCTGTTGTGGTGGGTAGGGTATTGCTTTGYTTTTTGGGAGATTCATATCTAAGTGTATTAAGGTGTAAACAAAGGAATGGGGCAGCAGAGCCTGGACAGAGTTACTGRTTAGAAGAGAAATAAACTGCAGCCRTCACTTGGGCAATGAGACTTAAAAARGAATTGACTTTCAAACAAGGAAGAAAAAAGATCTTTTTGGAAAACAGGATACACTTGGTAATATAATGCTGTATAGGAAGTGATGAATCCTCAGTTCTTATTTTACAAATTCTCTGTTTAGAACTGCATTTGAAATATGTTCAGCTGTTAATGTGGTGTGTATTGCTGCTGTAGGATCATCATAATTCACACCATATCTGGACATACTTTTATTTTCTGTTGTTAATTAATGRGAGGATCGTTTTTCATTTCTTCTGGTGTGAATGTGCAATGGATTTGACTGTAATTGGAAGTTGAAAGATTTATTCTTTAAATTATACAGCACTCTTTCTTCCTTTCATTTAATATGTACTCAATCTCTTTTCATTCTTGAAAAGGTAGCAAACCWGCTAAAGTGGTTTATGTTAATTCACCTCTGCTGAGAAAAGAAATGACAGTAAGAGAGAGGAATCAAATCTTCCATGAAATTCCAATGGATTTTCTAGCAACTAAAACATCTTACGTTTCAATTTCTGATGTATCGATGGACAAACCAGCTGAGGACAGCCTGTTTCAGTGGGATGTAAGTAGGTTCACCTATTCTTAAAAACAAACCCAAAACCTTGTGTTACAATTCATAAATTGATAATGAAGGAAAAATTAGTCTTTCTGTTGGTGGTTTTTCTATTGCTGATTTAGAGACCCTGTTAAAACCTGTCTGTCTAGTTCCTTTAAATGCTTCTACATTGACATCTCAACTTTATGTTTACTTCATTAAAATGTATTTTGATCGGTTTGCTTCAGTGGGAAAGGTCCTGTGAGCTTTTCCTCTTTGGAGAGGCCTTTCACTCATAGGACTCAAGATACTCCACATTAAACAAGAAAATGTGTTTTTCAATTACTGCTCCTCTTTCACAACAGTCAAAATATGGATGGCTGAACATTCTTTGTGTTTTCAATTTGGTAATGTCTTGTTTCTKGTTTTTTTTTTTATCCTTTTGGGATTTTTAAATTTTATTGYTTTCTCATCCCTGTGTTAAGGTGTGTTCTGATACCTACCAGTGCAGGACAATTCCTCTTCCAGATGACACAGGGATGGACTTCGATGATGATGTTACAGAACTTGAAACTTTTGGAGCAACAACAAACCTCTCAAGAACTTCTAAAATGGAAAGTACTTTTCCTGTGGTTACTAACACTGCTAAAATTTTATCTCATGGTCTGAAAACGGGGGACAAAGATTCATCCACCATGAACAGTGGAGATGAAGAGGAGAAAAACACCCTTTCTGAGCAAGAAGGTTCAGCATGTGCCAGCACGCAGTTTCCATCATTAGGTGGCACTTCATGCATCAGCCCTCAAGAAAATCCACCTTGTAAAAGCTTTCAGTCAGTGGAGGTAGGACTAAACAAAGCACAGCATGTCATGACTAAAGAAGTGTTGGACAATGAAACAAAATTAAATCCTCCATCCAATGGAGGGAGTTCTGAGAAAGAGCCTGATGCTGCACAGAAAAGAGAGACTTACAGTTCTTTATGCAGTAGTGACACGGATGAAGAGCGTTTGGTGATTGATTCAGAATGTAAAACCACTGCTTGTTGCAAACCAGCTGTATCAACCACCGTTTCTTATAGCTCTGCAGAGACTGCCAGTTCTCCTTCCCCTGCTCAGAGTCCTTTAGCAAGCACCAYTGACTGCTCAGATACCATGGATCAGGGGAAAAAAGCCTCCAAGAAACCTACAAGAAAGTTATCCAAAGAATTGGATCCTGTTGGGCARATTTTGAAAATGCAAACTGAACTTCTCAAGTCCCCTTCTCGAAAAGCTCCTGAGCCAGTGGTGAGCTGTGATAATTCTAATGCTCTACCAACACAGGTGCTTCAGTCTCCAAAAACCTTGGTGACCTCCAGCACAGAAACTGTGCCTGCCCCAGCCTCCAATCCCACTGGCTCCTCTAGAAATAACTGGACTTGGCTTTTTGAGGGACTGCCAAAGGGTAAGTGTGGTCATTGTGTAAGGAGGAAAATTTAACAGATAACACTTTAACTCCTTTGTCTGAAGAACCAGTATTGCATCTGTTACATTTATTTAGAGATGTGACTTTACACTATCTTCTCTGTGTGAGAATGACTGTGTTGCACACAGAAGAGAGTGCTGGGAGYTGTTTGTTCACAGAGGTGAATGTGAAATACTGTTTTACTGTAGAGAAACAGAAAGTTGTTATACTCAAGSGTTTTAAGCAAGGAAAAGAAGTAATTTGGTAGTGGAATATGTTATTTTTGCACATAAATTATAACAGTCTGGTCTGCAAAAATAGTTATTTGTCAATCAAAAATAGAATTATTTTACTTTTTTGTAAAATAAAACTTAATCAAATGATGCAATTAAAAATTGGGAAAAAAAAATTGCAATTAGTGTGTCTTAAGTTTTGAGTCTTCTGGTTCAGTTGATGTTGCTTCACTCCTTAGCACTCTGTCCCAGAAGACAAATGAGGGTTCACTAAAAGGCACCTCTCTTTAAGTTTTCAGGCAATTGGCTGGATATTTAATCTGTTCTACACCTGGACCTTAACCCAGAATTACAAGTCGTGCAGATCCCAGGGACCATGGACATGGAAATTTTCCTTATATGCCTGATTTGTTYCTAAGATCTGTATAGCTGAAGTTAGAAGCACTTTATTGTGTTAGATAAACTTGCAGGAAACCATGAGCTACATTCGTACAAGAACAGAGTCTTGCCTTTGGAGTTCTCTCTCTTTGTGTGAGAAATCTAATGATGTGGGATTATTTACAAATATGCTCTTTAATTGAGTGAACATTTCCCAAATGTAATTATTTTCAATTTTTTAAAATATGTGACTTTTTTGTGCCTAATGAAGTAGTTTTCACTCCAAAATCTTAGGAAACAAAACAGATCCTAGGGTAAATAAAACATCTAAACAAACCACAAACATAAAAACTTACTGCAARGGGGGAAAAAGCTAATCAGCTTCATGAGAAAGAATGTCCAATCTTGTAATTTTCTGGTTTCTTAATTTTCTGTAGGAAAGCTGCCAAGTGAACTTCAGCTCCTTGAAGAAGACCCTTCAGAGTATCAAGCACCTGAGGAAGGCAATGTTGTGTATAAGCTCTTCAGTTTGAATGATCTGTTGTTACTTGTGCGGTGCAGTGTGCAGAAAGTCAAGTCACTGCCACGATACCAAAAAAAGAAAAAAGCCCAAAAGGTAAAAATCTTGTTTTCAGCATTTGTTTTGGGTTTTTTTTTNNNTAAACTGTTGTGCTCAACAGGCATCTCTGTATTCCCAGTTCTTGGTAGCATTTGTGCTTTCATTGAGATGATTGGTATATTTAATTGAGACTCTGAAGTGTGTGTTTTGTAAGTAAATATTTGCTGTAGCAAAACATGGAAGAATAACTTGTGATCTAATCAAGTAAAGCTACTTGATTAGAAGATAAGTGTGATTCTCCATTTTTTACCGAAGTAATRTGCCTGGCCAGTGATACACATGTAAACTAGTATCAGTTTGAATTGTTCTTAGAAGTTAATGGAGTAATTAGGGGTTTGGCCCAAGGCTTTGAGAAGTTTCATGATCATAAATACTTTCAAGCAGGATTCAGCCTTGCTATCATGCCTAGTTAAGCAGAGAAAGAGCAGATCAAGTGAACAGCAGAGAAGACAAAAAGAGATTCTGTTTGTTCTCCTTGAATATTCTATGACATATCAAATAGTTTATCTCGTGGAATTAAGTGATTTGAATGCAACTGTAATTGAAATATTCCTTGCATCATCAGGAGAAGGAAATTTTATTCTGTAATTCCCAGTAATTTGTTATTTTGTAAAGAGTCCTCTGAATCATTCAGCGAATTTGTTGTGGTATGTYCCTCCTGAGAATAATTACAGCACGCAGTTTTGTGACGTGTTTATGTGTTGCTGAAATGGAAATAATCATTGTARCTCAGATTGCTTACCAAGGGTCTCTGCTCAGAATCTTATTTTGAAGAAATCCCATCTCTTTGTTACTGATCCACAGCTCATAAATGCCTGGGAACAACTGCTTAGTTCATTATTCAGAAACCAAGCACTTGGTTATTTCTTAAAAAATTTCTGCTGACGTTTAWACTGTGGGTTGTCAGTGAGAAAGATGTTATGTTTTCTGTTARTGTTAACTCTCAAAGGTTACACTCTGATTTCAAATGAGAGTCCAAGCATTAGGTTCTAATTTCAAGTGAGATTCTGACAGCAGTGATAAATGCCAGAATTTAGCTAATAATAAGCAAATTAGAAATGTCATGTATTTTTTCTTAAATTGATGCAGAGGGCAGTAGAGCACCGAATGTAAACTTCAAATTAATTTAGTTGCATGGAAAGATGACGTAGTAGCACAATTTTTAGGATTTGTAGAATATTGCCCAGGCTTTTTTTTCTTTTTTCTTTTTTTTTCCTGTCCATTTCATCTTTCTTTGTATAAAGTCTCTGTACTCTAAAGTTTTTACTGTGGATTTCACAGAATGGGAACCTTTGAACAAAATCTCTGAAATATCATTGTTGCTTCAGCTATGGTGGAGGACTATGATTATTATAAAYTACAAAACGTAATTAAATTTACATTAAAAATGTAGACTTTTTGAACAGTGAGTGCTGCTTTTTCTTTTTAGAAAATAGCAATCTTCTAATCTAATCTAATCTTCTGTTTTTCAGCTGACTCCCATATTCCTGTTGCCAAAACTAGAATACCAAGCCTATTACGGTGTCGAAGCTCTTACAGAAAGCGAAGTGTGTCAGCTGTGGACACAGAGTATGCTACATTCTGAATGCTYATTTTATATTGGTAAGTTCATGGGTTGATTTTTTTGTTTAAGACACGTGTGTGAGTATTTGTAGAATAACAGAAGAGATACATATTTGTTAAAGGTATAYTCCATATGTCCTTTTTAATTTTAACTTTCTAATTTTGTTTTTCACTTTTAACTTTAGTAAGCTCCTTGTTGGAAATTTCTTTGGATGTTTCAACTTTGGTTTTAGGTAAAAAAAATGTCCTGTAGAAAATGCTGTATTTACATTTGTACCATGACATTTTAAAAGTCAGGGAAGTTTTTATGTCTGTTGGGATATATGTTGTGTAGAGAAATCAAAATGTTGCATATAAAGAATGTGACCAGATTATTTTGACAACCATTTTAATGTATGGAGAGTTTTCTGATACCAGTTATCTTGTAATTAGCAAATTTTCCCTTTTAAAATCTTGCTAATTACAAGATAACTGGTATCAGAAAACTCATGAGTTTTCTGATACCAGTTATCTTGTAATTAGCAAATTTTCCCTTTTAAAATCTTGCTAATTACAAGATAACTGGTATCAGAAAACTCATGAGTTTTCTGATACCAGTTATCTTGTAATTAGCAAGATTTTAAAAGGGAAAATTTGCAAAAAATGGTTAGTTGATATTTAGAATATGCTTGGAACATGCTACTGAGTGAGGGCAATCCTGTTTGTACAGTGAGTGACTGTGCTGCAGTGGGGACTGCCTCACTTACTTGTAGAAACAAATCTGGGTTTTAGGGTTGTTATGGCAGCAGTTGTGGCCTGTGGTTGCCTAACCTTTCCACTTGTGCACTGAATTACACTTTTGCTGTTGTTGGCTCACATCAGAATGCTATTTTAGAAATGCTAACTTCTCTATTTTCCCATTTTTATATACAAACTGTACAAGTTACCATAAGATTATGTGCAATCTAGTGTATTTGCTTATTGCATCTTAGTCTGCTCTTCTTATTTGATGGAAATTATATTTCTAATTTTAAACTTCAAGAGCAATATTTGATATTATTTTTCCATTCCCTAAAAAAAAGCTGATTATGTCCACAGTTCTCTATTTGTAACTGTATCTTAATGTATGGTACAGAAGCATTGCTTCTCTTTAGTTTTAACAAGCACACCACTATACTGAGTATATTCTGAATTTATGTATACTCAGTATATGTCCATACTGAACTGCACTGCAGTTGAGCTGCCTGTATCCAGGAAATGTTATCAAAGTTTTCATTAATATTTCCAAAGTGGYAAGCAGAGCAGTGTGAGGAAATCGTGAGCTGTGGAGAGAGGGCTGATGTGTTTGCTAGTAAGTCCACAAAGTGAAGGAGTGTCTGTCTAATCTGCTRTCAGTTAAGGTTACTGAAGGTACGGCTTGCGCAGGAGATTGCAGGCAGCTCATCCAGCCAACACCCCATTTTATGGAGGCTCTTGGGAATGCAGGAGAAAGCAGGCTGGGCAGGCAGGCAGTGTTCCAGATAAACAGGCACAGAGCCCTYCCCCGCCAGCCAGGAGAGCTCAGTGTGTTCCCTGTAGATACCTGCTGGCTGTGAGATGGGCCGTGCCCTGGGCTGGCAGGCTGCACTGCTCTGGCCACCATCTCTCTGTTCCTGTGCTCTGAAGAAAGTGTCCTTGGGATTGAGAAGTGCTGGTTATTCCAGTCATGTTTGTTTGYCAGCTCTTGGATGTGCTCTTTCCAGAAGCAAGCCCTGGGGCGCACAGGAGTTCTCCTTTTGTGGCTCTGAGGAGGCACAGGATTACTGTGGGTTGTCACTGTCCTGCGCAGATAATGGGTACTCCCAGCCTGTGAGGCAGATTCTCAGTACTGCCATGTAGTTTCTAATGCAAGTGGGTAAAAAAATCATATATGGAAGTAAATACYCCTTCTATGAAAGAGCATCTACCACAGCCTGTAATAGGAAATTGTTATCATATTCTATTTGGGGAATCTTTCCTGGAGAAATACTGCAAGGTAACTGTGAAATTCTGCCTTTCAGTTTGTATTTCTAAGGGAGCTGTGAAAAATGCGATGTTGCAAGTGTCCAGATTTGCTCAGGGGACACTCTTTGCAGCAGAGGGCTTTGTCCTGAAACTCCAGGGACAGGTCTCTAAGAGTGATGATATCCATGGGCAGCTTAAAATGGGGTGAATCTCTCATTYTCTGCCATTAATCTGATATCTGATAGTAAGACTACTCCAGTGATCTGTTAAGCGTAAGGAGAAAGGCAGAGATCCTCTGAGATCATTCTGTAATTTGAATTATTTTAAGTGAAATGCTGTGTTGTATAATAAAAGAATTTTTAAATCAAACATTTTCTAAAGCTTATTGCTCTTTTTAAATTTACCTCATAGTATGTGTGTGCAAGTATGGAACAAGATGATTTGAGAACTATGGCCCTATTAAYGCAGTACCTACAACTTTCATTCTTGTTCAGACAGTTGAGCCTTTAATTTTTAAGTTTTGAGYATGTAGCATACTCCCATGTCAAATTGCATAGATGTTTTTGGACCTTGAAAAAGTTTAATTCACTGTCTCAACCATCTTTTGTATTGCCAAGTAAGTATGGATGAAAAGTTCTTTGGACCTTGRTCTATGCCCCATAATTGTCCAGCGTTGTTGTGTGTGACAGGGGGAGGATCTCAGCTCAGTGACTCAGCTGTGCTGCCAGCTCAGGGGATGAGACAGAAAGCAGATGTGTACCCCATGGCCGCCTGCAGCAGCTGCAGAGGGTGACAGGAAGCTGAATTTTTTTATGTAGGATGTTCTTAAGGTACTGATGGTTTGCACAAAAGCAGAGATGCTATCATCAAACAAAGAGTGCTGTCTTCCTTGTGCTAGCAAAGCACCTGCCTTGGTTGCTGATTTAAGTCCCCTTGCTACTCAGATAGGAAATYCTGCATCTGCAAAGGCAGTAATCTCTGGGCCAAGCTTCCCAAATAAGGCACTTGTACTTKATCTAAGCAGTAAATAAAGCTGTGATAAGCTTTGCTGATTAATGGGAGCATTTTACCCTGACTATTATTCACTTATTTGCATTAAGTGCCTAAGCAAAACTTTGTGCAAGAATAGTTTACATTCACTTGAATGGAATAATATGGGCCTTTAAATTATTTGAAAAATGGGTAGGAAAAWAGTACTTAGTGTATGGGTAATGTACTACATGTCAAGTATTTTCRATCAGTCACTTTGCAAATATAAGATATAGTTCTATAAATTAGGTGGGAGTAGTTCATAGATATTTTGTAATTTTTTTTTCCCCAGTTATGTTGTCAGTGAGTTTAGGAGAGAAGTCTCTGATTGAGGAGAAGCTGGTGAGGGATACAGAACTCAAAACACATTTTTTAGTTCTTTTTTTAATGATGGGTTCAAATCTCTTTTTTGTCTAGTCAGCACTGCAGGATGTTAAATTTAGCTACTTCATCTTGCACAAAATACTGTTATGAAGAAAAGTAACAAATGTACAGTGTTTAAATCAGTTGTCCTGGTGCATTTTTTAAGATTTGTTAAAATTAATGTTATTACTTAGTATTCTTACACAACAATATAAACTGTTAGTAATGGATAACTTGGAATGTGAAATGCTTTGGTTTTGCAGTTTTAACTGTGCAATTGAAGCATTTACACTTCCTAAGAGAGCAGATGTATAGTAAGACAGTAAATTCCACTAGTAGGCTATATTTTATTATGCCTTTTCCTCATCCACCTTGTGGGAGCTGAAATAGAATAGATTGCTGGGAAAACCTCAGCATGAGAAAGAATCARAAGGCAAGGTACAGTTGTCCAATCCACGTCCAAGCCATGCTGGTGATCTTTATTGCTCATCAAGTGAAATGTGGGCTAAACTGTGCTTGGCAGCCTTTACTTCAGAAATGTGATGAGGAAGGCTTTGAATTGTTGCTTCTCACTATGTCAAAGACAAAAATTCTTGAGCAGCTTGCCGTGATCAAGGCCTGAGTTGTAAATTGTAATTTTTCAGGTGAGGAAGGGGGGGAAAAGTCAAGAGACAAAGATCAGAATCCCCAGAAAGTCATGCATTGTATCAGAATAGGAAAACAAGTATATTAAACTYAAAAGTAAATTTGTTGTAACAGATCAGCTTTCAGGATCTGTCTAGTGAAGAAGTGAAGTGATAAGGGTCAAATGAACTTGAGAAGATAGAAACTGASTGATGAGATTAAGGCCTGGCAGAATGAAGTTCTATATCCCACACATAAGCCAAGGTTYGCTGGAGTCAGGGGCATCTCCCTGGTTTAGAAAGACAGTCCAGTATAAATAGCTGTACTTAAAGCAGCTGCACATTTGACTGTCTRTTATGGTGCAACATTGATAAATACTTTTCACTGTTCTATGCCAAAAGAGCAAAGGTTTTTATCTTTTTAAAAAGGMATTAGGTCTGCAAATTAYGGTCTTACATTYGTTTGGTTTTATTTTTAGTRTTTTAATTGAATTTCTTTTTTCAGGACATATTGATGCTTTCACATCAAAGCTTATTATGCTAGAAAAGGTTTCTCCAGAATCTTTAAGAGAAAAACTTGGATTGATCAAGTGAGTATTTTAGTAAGTTTTTTTAGCAATGAATTTCAAGTCCTAACAAGCCTTGTAATTTACTACTTTTGCTATTTTTTTTTTCTTTCACAGACCTGCAAATTCATTAAATATACTTCATCATATTTTGAAGAAGGTGTCTGAGTAAGTGCTCAATTCTTGTTCATTGTATTTGTTTACCCCATTGTCCAGCTAATCCTGTTTTTTCTGTGGAGTGCTTGTCTACTCTGATTTTTGTTTCTTCATGTACATGAAATATTTTACAGGTTCTTAGGTCTACCATAGCATAATGTAGTACTGTGTAAAATGTGCTTGGCATTGCAATGTTTGCATAACTGATGCAAAAGAGTAAGAACTTGGGGTTTTTGAACCAGTTTTTCAGGAGAGGAAACTGGACTCTTAAGAGCTGAGTAAACAGTTTGCAGGAGTGAGGTGTAATATTGTGTATATAGGCTGACATGTAGAGTCTGGGCATTTGGGTTTTGGTAGTCTTTTGGCTTAAYTTGTAGAAATAACATTGTTTGAGTTCACTTCTGCTTAGCTTGACTTATGACGTCATATGCCTTTCTCTGTACAACATCACGACCTTTCTCCTGCTTCTTTATGTAGCTATTTCAAGCCTTTCAGACTGCAAATGTCTTTTTATTTTTTTGTGGAGCAGGTTTCTTACATTGAGTGTGAAGCGTCTTCATTCAAGTTACAAAATAGTTTTCCYGCTCTTCACAATTTCTGTAGTGTCATGATTTGTGACTAAGATTTTTGATACAGGCACTTAATTAATCTTTATCTTCCTAAAAACTGTTTTCATCCTGTATGTGTTGAAAGCTCATCTATTCTTTGTGTCTGTGTCCACATGGGCATTRTTCTTTATAGGATGCTGGTTAAGGAATTACAGTTTGCCCAACAAGGATGGTTTTCAGTGTATGCTTACATATTTAGTTGTGTAAGGTGCCAATCTTTATGTTGTTGATAAATTAGTACATTATGAATACAAATTAAACACATTAATTAGTAGGTATTTATCAATACAGTTTAATTAATGCTTTCTTGTCCAGTCTTTTTATAAAATGGGCTAAACATCTAAAAATGTTTTGTTTATGCATTAAGAAAGTATTAGCTATCCTGATCAAATAAAAAAAAAAACCAAAAAACATTAATATTTTTGTTTTTGAACTTTTCTCATTTTAGTTTGGAGGAGGGCTCTTATTTATTGACTCACACTGCAGGAGATTCATCAGTTGCAATTTACAAGAGTTCTCCTGACAAGACCRCAAGATCATCCTATAACCTGCACAAAGCTCACTGTGATCTGCCTGCTGTACCTGCCACTCTCTCAGTCCCATGGGTACCCCTAGACCCCAGCATCCCTTTGCCCTACCACATAAGTCATGGGAGRGTTCCATGCACCTTTCCACCTGCACCCCAGGAAGGGTGGAAACAGAAGGTCAGTATCTCACTTGATGGAAAAGCGGATTAGTAGTTTAGGAATGATCTATTTCAATCTCTTGGGTTATAGCTGGTGTAATTATCTGTCATCTTTGGGGGTCAGAAATTTTTTGTGAATCTATCCTGCTTTTTCATTTAAGTTGGTGGATAAGTGATGCCTATCATCCATTGGAAATTTCCCAAAGATCCACCTCTCATCTCTAATATTTTTGAGGCACTTTAAAAGTAAGAGAATTTTCAACCATTGTTTTTCTTCAGCATAGGTTTACTCATCTGTGTCAAAGCCATGTGCTAACTGTGCCCAGCTTTGTGCACTGTGAGATGGTTTTAAGTCTCTGTTACATGTTCTAGCCACATCYTGACTTCATATGAGGAAAAAATTGTCGTGCATCGGTTCCTAATTACCTTGTGTACTTTGGTTTCTGCCAGAAGGAAATGCAGGCACATAGGCAGGAAGAGGCAGGATTGGGCACTTCTCCYTGCTGTGTCAGTCAAGATGTGTCATGGGTCTGTTTGAAATTAAATTAATTACAAGGTAGTTGTCTCTGTGTAGTTGTGTATGTTTGTGCTTAATACAGATTTAAGCTTATTAATTCTGGTAATTCTGGTTTGGTTTTCTGAGTTGCTTTTTTTCAATTCTCTCCCCATATGTGTGTAGATGAYTGGGGTGAAAGGACAATCGGACACACCCCGTGAGGGAAAGCCAGTAGCTATGGAAACAAAAGGCAAGCCAGCTAAGCCTGTTAGAAATGAAGGTGTGGCTCCAAAGAAGCTGAGGAAGAATTTCTGCAAGCAAAGAAATGTGAAGAAAAAGTGGAAAACTAAATTCAACAAAATGCAACTGAAGTAGTARTAAGCCTGGAGAAGAGCAAGAGGAAACAAAAAATCTGAGGTTTTCTTGCAGCTTCAGAGGAGCCAGAAGAAGCTGGCTGGGGAAATGGATCCAATAGCTGAAGCATTCTCTAAACCTTTAACCCTTTCATACCTGAGGCAACCTGTTTGAAGGCAAAATCTCAAATTCAGTCAGAGAAAAAAGCTCATGGCTGCAGTCACTTGGCTCGTTATGGGGAAGAGTATTTGCTGTCGGTCTGGTGATTTTTGTAGGAAAACTGCATCTTGAAGAGTGAAGCAGTGGCTGCCAACAATCTCCAATACCACGTAACAAGAAAAAAAACTTTTCAGCTTTCCTAATTTTTCCAGATTCACTGCAGATTTTAGTTCTGATRTATTTTAAATATACATTTTACTTTGTGCATTGTGCGTAAGGGGAACAATTTGGATTTAATTGTTTAGATTTTTGACACATGGTGTCTACCAGCTTTTAAATAACTTAGATAAATATATTCTTCTTTTTTAGAAAGAACTTTACTAACAAATGAAGTACAAAAGCTGTATTTATTTGAATTATAAGTGCTATAAATTTGCTTTAAGAAACTTACAAGTGCAGWGAAACAAGTAAAATAATAACAGGAGAGCTACTTTTCTGCATGTTTAAACAGTTGTCACAAAAAAGCAGAGGTCTTAAAGGTGTTCCTCCAAGTTTTTGTTTGGACTGAGGAAGTTTCCAAGTACACACATCTGATCAAGCATTCTTCTGCTCATTGGGACTTGACAGGACATGTTTTGATGTCAGGAGGGTAAAAATAAAAATGGTTTACTGGAGTACACCTATTAAAAATCCTGAAGGTAGGAWTTTTTTTGAAATCAGGCTTCAATAATGAATGTATATGAAAAACTTATTTGTAAAATGCAAARCATTTTCTGATGTGGGTTTTTTCCAACTGTTAGATATTTATTCAGTTATTCAGTTTAATCTTTTTTTGGACCACTGCTTGTTTTATCTGCAGTAATAAGCTATTGACAAGCTGAACTGGTGTTAGCAATTTACAGATAGTTTTGATTCAAACTCCTAAATGCCCTTAGTGGCTTCTCATAATAGGAATATTTTAGCTGTGAGTCATTTTTGCCAGATAACTGATTCTGTCTGGGGGATTCAAGGCCGTTTTCAGTTTGTATGTATAAAGCTTCTTGCCAGACTTGTATGGAATTTGGTTTCCCAATGCAGTTTCATATGGCACAAATGGTCTATTTGCTCATTACATTACACTGGTATAGTACTAATGATAGTGTACTAATTGTAGAACTGTAATGCAGCAGCCTGTGCTGCTGCTCTTGGCATTACTGCACTGTGGGTGCCAGACTTCATCTTTGCTAAGGCTCATGCAGTTCCTGTTGGCCTGGCAGTGCAGACTGTCCAAGACTCTCTGCATAGCAGCTCATCTGTCCCCTCGACCTCTCCCTTCTCCCCATTTGGTGTCATCTGCAAACCCAGGGCACATGGGTTTCATCACGTTATCCAGCTGACATGAGCAGTGCCAGACCCAGCTCAACTGGTTCAGCTTTGAGCTACAAACCACTGGAAATGGAAGAAAGCCTCTGAGAACAGAACGTGTTCCAAGCTGTGTGAGATCACTGCTGGCTGTCTGGTTTTCCCCGTTCACTGGTGTTGGTTAGGAGATGAAATGGATGGGTGTTGATCACATTCAGACTGTTTGAAGTTAGTTTTGGAGGACTGGAGGACATGTTCTGACCTGGCATTTGAGGTGACCGGTTGGCATATGGAACTTYATCAGTTCTTTATGTGAGTGTGAATAACTGCAGTGGGTTATTGGCTGTGAAATCTGACTACTTTTRTAGTAATGAGAGTTTTTAAACTTCATTTGCACTATGCACTGATAAACTGCTTCYATTCTCTTGTGTGACTGGCTAAATCTTCTCACCTTTTCTGTCTGACTACAAATACTTCTAGGAATACAACAGAAATATGTAAAATATTTTAGGAAAAGATGTGCTGCRTTTTTTCTCTTCTAATGTAGCATAGCAGCTGGAAGCACAGAAAACTGGGACCGAGTGACCAGCCATCCATTCTGGTGCTGAAAGRTGGGAGATGCCAACAGCAAGGGACTCTGCCCACTGCTATGCTGTGAAGTTCAGTAGCAGTTACTGAGCTGTTTAAAGAGGTATTTATTTTGCTTCTGATTTGTTTGCCCTGAGTGTTAAATAGCAGCTCGTTTCCAAAAGAATATAAAAGTCAGTTCAGGTGTAATCTTTCAGAATGCTTAGTGCTGATCTCCATTTAAAAGGCTTGCTTTTAGTTCTGCTGGTAGAAGTTGCACCATTTTCAGTCTCTCCCCCTGTTGAAGTCTGACTGGATGTGTAACTTTTTCAGCTTCCTCTGTGAGGAGTTACATAACYAAGCTCCTTCTTTCTTAATAAAATGTCCTTTCATATAAGTGTGGGTACAGTCTTTCCCAGAAGCACTGTCACTGCTTGGTGTGTTAAATTTCTCTGTACTAAAAATATATTTGTCTTTTTTTAGTTGTTCTTAAAATGTATTTTTTCTACAGAGATTCCTGAACTTAGTTTGCAAGTCCAAATTCTGTTCCTGTATGTTCAAATCATTTGCATTAAAATATTTTCAAGGATACATTGCAGTATTATATATCCCAAATTAAATTTGCTTCTCAATGCCAGGAAATACCTTTGGTGGCCAAGTGATAGCCTAAGCATAAATCATTTGAATTCTACCTTAATTAGTGTAGGTGGAAGATTGTCACTGACAGAAAGGAGGTTTAAGCCACACTGAGCCTTATGAAGGTCTCCTGTAGAAAATCTCAAGGCTGCTCTTACTCATGGCTGTGGCTTTAAGGTGAGTTAGTCCTCCTCTYGCTGTGAGACTGAGGACACACCATTGTGATATCCCTTGCTGAGGGAATTTTTGTTGTTTTTRTGGAACTACAATATAGTGCTAGTTTTTAAATTGTAGAATAATTGAATGATTATTAAATAGTGTCAGTCCTAGTGCAGCTTGCACGGCATTTCTCAGTATTGATACTTCTCTCTTCTGCTTATCAGTGAGAGAAAAAAAAAGAGAAGGCCTGAAAGCCCCATTCTTTCCCAAGATAGCATGGTAGCTGTCTTACATGAAACAGTACAGGTAATACAGAACTCTTTTCTCTTATTTGTGTCACTTTAAACTCAGCATTAAAAAGAATAAGGTAATAATTATGTGGGRAAGGGAGGCACTATTACAGACCCAAGCAACATCTCTCATTCTTGAAATGAAATGGAGCAGCCCTATCCCTCTGAGTGTTCACTGCATGTTCTTACAAGTGTGCATTTCCTATTTTTGATAGCCCTAATGGAGAAAAGATATTTTTCCAAATGGGGCATGTCCTTGTTCAGAGGAAACAAAAGGARAAGGATACTGATATTGTTGACCAAGGCTGTATAATCAAATCAGCCTCTTTGCTTCCTTCAGCTTGATGGGGTGGTTCTCATTGCAGTGCACAGAGCCAGCTGTTCCAAAAGATGCATGAATACRTTTGGGTTTCACTGAAGCTTACTCAGAGGTACTTGGCTCAACAGTTTTTCACCTGTGCATGAGATTTCTCCATTGTATGGCAGCATGAGTGGCCAGGAATGTCACTTTACCTGCCTGTGSCTCAAGAGCAAGCACATAGCACAAGCTTCTCTGTTCTCAGGTACTGCCAAGTGAATGCAATTTGGGAAGGAAGAACAGAGCAAGTTCTACCATGGCAGATACCATCAGAATTCTTTGARGAAAGGTAATCTAGAGTTTTAAAACTACTGTAAGTTTTAATAAATCTTGACATACTTTTGAGTGTTTCAAGACTTTTGATACTCAAGGGCATGTGACTGAAATTATRTTTTAGAAATTTTGCCTTGAAGTGAGAGCTGCCTGTCCATTCCCCACCACTGCCTTACCCAGACAGTCCTGAATTCTTGYATCATTTCAGGCTTTCAGGAACTAACGGCTTCAGGGAAACAACAAACATGAGTCTCTGATACTCTAGTGATGCCAGTAACATTATCCAAATGCAGTCAGTCCTTTGCTGGCACTGCACTGTGTGAGCACTGTGAGAATAGTCAGATTTGTATATTTAGGTAGGAAAGGAGCTCATGAATTACTCCGCAAAACAGTATCAAAGATTATAAAGTGATGTCAAACAAAGATATTTCCTGTCTATTAAACATGTACTAAAGGTGTTCCTGGGAGATCACAGGAGTACAACTACCAGTCCTCTGCACAAACCAAATTGGAAACTTCAGGAATTTCCTTGTAAGACTTTTTATGATCACAAAATATACTTGCAGAGTTTATACATACRTTTGTGTACAAGTACCTTTAGATGATCAACTGTGATAAAAGAAAGGTATTGACCATTCTAGTACTTTTTCAGACCTGAAACTGTTAAAAGTGTCAAATTCTGTACATCTGGGCACAGAATCAGTTGCTGGCAGCAGATATTCTCAGCTGGAATTTACCTTCATGTTTCCAGATTAATTCCCTGACGTGAGGGTGCATCTGTCTACATGAGAGTTTGTTTTCCCAAATGGATCCACTAGAAAGTCTTGTGGTGACTGTTACTCTTTCCTGCCCTAAGGTTTGCTGCTACTCCAGCTGCTGCTGTAGTGCTTTCTCTATTAGAAAGAAATGGTGCAGCATAGCCTTTCTTGCAGAAGTTCTTTTGCTCTTCCTGTGTCAGTTCCTCTGATACACTTTAGCACAGAAAGAAAAACAAGGATTTTCTGAAAATAAATTTAGAAATGCCCATGTTAAGAATCAATATAGTCAAATTCACGCCAGTGTCAATGCTTTGGGTGTACTCTTCAGAAACTATTTTAAAGCATCTGTAAATAAAATGAGAATATTTGTTTAGAATTTTATTTCATCACTGAAAACAAAATTCGGAATAATGATGCGACCTTGAAAAGGTTTAAAACTCAGCTTTGTTCATGATTTTTGTCTTTAACATTTGTTTATCCCATAGTTGAGTGAGCAGCATGAGTGCCACCCTGTGCTAGGCCTGCTGCAACTGATTCAAGAGCTTTACTTTCAGAAGCTCCACCTACCAGACCTTTGCACGAACAATTCAAAATAATTTAAAAAAGGAGGAATGYTAAAAAGATTTCTGCTGAAATAAGTCACCCATCAGTCTGTCTAATGTGGGCTATGCTGCCAGGCAGACACAGAGCACTTCAACAAATATTTTAATGATTGGATTAAATTTGAGCTTAAAAAGGAGGGAAGGAAGAAGCTGTCAGAAGCCCATGGCTGAGCAGGTCTTGTAGCCACAGTAAAAGCTACCTCAGCAGTCAAATCCTATTTATTTCAGAACCATGCAGTTACCTGCAGTTCTGTTCCCTTGATTGACAGGAGGACAGTAACCTTGAGCAGCTCTCTGGATATTCCTTGTTTATAGCAGAAGTAACGAAATTAGGAAGAGGTGTAGTTACTGCAAAGGTGCACATGCTACTTTCAACAGCTTTTGTAGCCCTTTGTAAACTAACAAGTACTCACATCACAGTTGAAATTCTTTAGCTTATTTGCAAGTAACCTAAGCACAATGCACAGTGAGATTGATTAGAATGACTTGTTTAGTGTAAAAGCAGCACACTGAGCTTAAGAAACCTGGAGAGAGTTTTGTACTGACATCATCACTATTTCTTGAGAAAAAGCATCTTGTGGGTCAACAGCCCTCTCACTGCAGGCTCTTTTGGTTTAATAAACAGAAAATTTGCGTGTGGGTACATGAATAAATAAGTTTGTTTCCTGCTTTCTTCAGGGAAGGTAATTCACACAACATCCTAGTTATCAAAAAAATACATTGTCTTTTATTTRTAGGTTTTTTACCAGCCCAGAGAGACAAACTGAAAAGATAAAGTATTGTAACACTTCCTTGGTTTTAAGAATATCTGTGGCTCCATCCTCCTCTGTGTGTGTATGTGTGCATGTTTCAGGCTGTGGCTTAAGTCTAGGCTTCTCAGTTTCTATACTGGCAAAACCTTCCCAAAGGCTTTCTTTGGTCCAGCCTTTCTCCACAGGAATGATGGTGGCTGGCTCACTCTGTTCTGTCCTTGTTTGTCAGCCAGCTGGGCTCTTCCTTCTGCTGGTTTGAACTCAGTTATTCCGAGTGTAGTATTCACRCTAATGGCTGCTCCTTCTTGTTTTAATGACTTCCTGGAGGGTAGTAGAATTAGCAAAATAAACCTTAATGTTGAGAAGGTGTTGGAAAATTGTCTGTGGTTGTGTTGGCACTGCAGCCTTTTGTTCTGTCTCCTCAGCTGTGTCCGATGGGASCACTGGCTACTGACACGCAGGACACAGCACTGATAGCAAATGTGTAAATGTTGAGTATTATGGGTACTCCTTCRTGCTAAAACAATAGGCTTTTAATATATTTTTTTCTTACTCATTAGAGGAAATTCAAACCTGTGCTTCTGACCTGGTAAAGCAGGTCTTAGGCTGCCTGGCACAAACAAATGTCTTGGTAGCAGCCACTCAATCAACAGCTTTTTTAAGTCAACTTTCTTTGCCTTAAATTTTCTCTAAAGCTGTAAGATGTCACTTGAAAGAGCAACAGAAAAATCAGTGTACACATTCYCTTGTAATTATCGTATTGCAAGGCATATTTCAGTCTCATACCTCAGCTGATCCTAATTTAGGTAATGAAGTTCAGATCATGTAAGAACTTTCTCCAAATCCTGTGTTTTGTGTTATTCTGTACTAAACCAAGGTTGATAGGTTTTAAAACAACCCACAAAAAAAAACCCCTTTCTTGCTGTTTCACAGAATCATTGATTTTAATTGAAAATTTCCAGCTGTGTTCCAGATTGCTGTAGAAATTGTATATTGACTTCTCTCAGTGAATTTTGCACTGTAAGTGATTTTAAAATTCATTTTCCTGGGTCATTTCAGAGATGTCATGATGGTAARCAACAAGGAGATAGTTTTGGCAGTATGTAGTTGCCAGCTTGCAGATTTGCCATAGGAGCCTGTTGTTCAGGCATTTTTAGGGTAAGTTTAGGTGGTGCTTAATTAGATTCCTTGAAACTTTCAGAATTATTCCCCAGAATTCCTAGGGACATAATTAAGGTGGGACAGCCTCCCCAGTGCTTTGGTAGAGGCCAGGAGACTAATCCAAACCATGGGACTGTTTGTGTTATGAGTCACTAAAGTGGAAAGAACACATAATGATGGGAAACARTGGAGCAGAGCAGCCTTGGTTTTGCATTAAAGCTTTTAACACTATTCCTAGGAAAAATTTCCCTGAGGGCTTTTGGCAGCTTCCATCTTTTGTAGCTGTTTCTGTCCTTTGGCAAGACAGGCCAAAAACTCTGCAGTGATTATTCATGCTYGTCTGTTCTGGGTGATGTCAGGGGCTCCTACGTGCACCAGTAATATTTTCTGCAGTGTTTTCCAGTGTGGTGGCTGTCTGGGGAACATTACTTTAGAGCTGGCAGACATGAGAGTTCTAAGCAGTGTGACATGTAAATGGGTTCAAAACCTCTCTTAATGTACATATATAGTGGTAGCCTGTTTATACCAGCAGCATTGTGCTGACATTGCTGAGAAAATTGAACTCAGCATAGTGGGTTTGGTTTTGAGATTTGATCTTTTTAACCTGTTAAAGGACCAGTTTAAGGATTATTTCTAGGACCAAAGATGGCATGATACCTGGATTCAGATAGAATTGCAGCTCTMCAGCCCAAAGTACATTTGAMTGYGATTGAGGGTATTCATGATAATCTRAGAACAGAAAGTAGACTTTAATATCTGACAAGGCTTTACAGTCCTGGTTTTGTCTCRGACTGCATGATGTTAGCATGAAAARGCAGCWGGCTCTGTGGGGCATATGAATTCCCCAGGGACTGAAGGAATGCACTAAACATGGTTACACACATAGTAACTATTTGTTTCTATATCCTGCCACTGTTTCATTCAGTGTAAAGAGCTGGAGCTTACTCAAGGCTCCAATACCAGTCCAAGGGGTTTGGCAAGTGTTTCATTTCTGTGTTTGTGTGTATCTAGGAGACCTCTGCTAGTCACTAGATGATTGCTCCCATGCGGCACACTGCAAAACCGAACTGCTGGTGATTCACAGTTGAGGTTAGAAATGGACTTGAGCTACAGATACGAGTAATACTCATAAGAAACATATGCCTGAGGACTTTTTTTTCTAGGTTTTGCTACACTTGTTATCTGAGTTGCTGGCTTACATTTGTTCATGATGCATATTCCTGGCTGAATCTCTGTCACTTAAATGTGCACTCCTCTCTGGCACATTCTGGTTCTCATGCCAAACAAAAGGAAAGAAGGTGCACTAGCCCAGACTGAGTCAGGAGGAAAAGCCTACAACACCTTTGAAGTTGGTAGCCTGTGTTACCTTTGTCAGCTCTGTGAGAGAAAAAACGGAGTTTGCGTCCTTCTGAGCACCTTGACAGAGCACAGATGATTCCATGTTGTTTGCCTTGGACAGTGCACAGTCAGTGCAATAGGTTACACCATAGGGACTTAAACTTKATGGGCTTTGCTAAGTGATAGAAATTTTGTTTAGACTATATACGTGCCCCAAAACAGCTTTGCTTGTTATTAGCTTTTGTGAATATAAGGAGTTTCTTTCTGACTGTARTTATAATCTTAGCTAATATTTTGCTTTGTTACTCTCTTGTCTYGATTTGGGATCCAAAGTCACTCAGGCATCTGGTTCTTTTTGGAGGCAAACTCCTTGTGCCATTAGGCTTAGAATGGAAGGATCCACTGAGATTGACAGATAAAAGGATGATGATGATGGTGTTATTTACACTGGTGAGGAAAAAAACCATGCAAAAATAAGTTAGAGTTCAAGCTAAGGTTATGGTCAGATGTGCATGAAGATAGCAGAAGAGGGACACTGAAAAGCAGACACAATTGCTTTGCATATACAGGCTGGAGAAGTAGCTGAAGGCAAATTCAGTGATARAACAGTATCAGGTTATATAAGGAAACTTAGACCCCTTCAAGATGCAGCCAACTGGTGGCGAGGTAGATGTTCTACTTTGAAGTTTTATAGCTTTGAAGAGCATTTTTTGTCAGGCTCTTGTGTGTGAGGCAATTGGAGATTCTGCATGGGAAGTAACTTGAGGGCAGAATGCCTGTCATGTCTTTGTCATTCACAGTGATTGCTAAAATACAYCCTTTAAACAAGGTTACATCACCTTTCTTGTAGGCTTTGTATGAAACAGATGAAGATAAACTGGAAACAATTTGATGAATCTATTTTTGTATCTTGATGAAGTAATTAATGTTGTTTACCACTTTCTTTAGCAGGTGCAATACTTAAACCTTGCCCTGAAGAGTTAATAGTCAAAAGATGGGGCCTGATCAGTCAGAAGGCAACAGTCTAAGATCAAACAGAGAAGCAAAGGAAGCCCAGGGGGGCAGTGTCTGACCTGGATGGTCTGTTCAGAAGCACACTGCTTATGCCTACACACTCTGTTCCCAGACTGAGCCAGCTCATGCCAGCTACCTTACCCATTAGAGTGCTTCATTTGTAAAATACATGCATAACAAAATATTAAGAGATCTGGCCAACACAGAAGATCATTCCAGAGGTTAAGTCTAGCTCTTTAAAAGGGATTATTTCAAGTAAATTAAATTCTGAGTAGAGAATAACATTTGTGCRGGAATGTGCATGTAGTGTAGGAATGAGATTGCACAGAATAGAGTTGATCCAAGGGCTTAGGTTTTTAGGTGGAGCACCTAACAAGATGTCTGGTTCTCTGGTATTGTATTAGATAAAAGTTGACATTGGTATTCTGGTCTATTTTTCAAAAACATGTGATTACAATTCTGTCATACACAGAATAAACTCCCTCCACCACCACCACCCTCCAAAAAAAACCCAAAAAGCCAAACAACCAAACCAGAACACAAGTCCCCTTCTCCCAAGCAAAATAACACTTTCTGTGTTTAGTGTTTTACTAATGCAGTCTGAATGTGCTAAGCAGGAGTCCCTCCTTCTTTCCCCTGTAGCCATAGACATAATAATTTGTCAAGTTGTTTCCCTGGGAACCCAGCTAGCATAACTTTTAAGTTTCACTTAACTGTCTCTGTAACCTGTAATTACTCGAGTGCTAATAACAAATCTATGTGTATCATGGCAGTTCCCAAATTAGACCAAATAATCAAGATACAAAAACAACACCCAGAGGTCTGCCTGATCCATATGCTAATCAGAATGGAATTTATGTTATCCTCTTGCAACACGTTCAGGGAGCAACACTAGACAGAGGCTCAGTCACACCTAGACCAGAAAGTCCTTTCTCCTGATCCCTCCCCTCTTTTTTAAATTGAAGCAACAGGTATAAGTAGGCAATACCTATTGACACAATTGTGGCCTTCATACCTCCAGTGTTTATGCAGTGTTGTTTGTAGACAGCATCCTGAAAGAGGTGAGCAAGATCTGCATAGGTGAAGGAGTGAAACAGGTGGACAGAAATGAGAAAAAAATCAGCTGGAGTGACCCCATATGCAATGATGTTATTGCAAAGATGAAGTTGGGTCAGAGGAGAATTTAAACAGAGGAATCCAGTTAAGCCTCCAGTAATATGATAAGAAGAAATTACAGGAAAAATCCTGTTGGTGAGGTGGAAGAAAATTGTATCTTGAATTGAAAKAGGGAGGAAAAAAGATAACATCAGTATCAAACTGATGCAGTAATAATGGAGTTGGCAATGGTGGTGTCACTGAGAGGGTGGAACAAATGGACTTATAGCATGTCCATAGACTACAGGCTGAAACTCTGTCACAGCTGACAGAAGGGAAGCATGAGAAGTTGGCACAATTATATTTGTTTTTCCATCCACAGGATTCTGTGCAGCCCCAGCCAAGCAAAGTGTGCTCTCTTAGATTGCTGTGGTCAGTGTKCAGGAAGCCCCAGGTCTCAAATGGGTAATTGCAGCTAAAGAAGTTGCYGGTGATTTGAAATGCAACCTTCTATGCAGATATTTTAAGGAAGTACAGGGACCAAACAATGTGAAAACAAATTGCAAACCTTTCTTGGCACTGCCTTACT